TTTCCAAAGACGGTAGATTGAAATCTCATAGCACAACAATAAAAGTTTTACACCCCAGGGAATCAACTGATCCCAACAGAACAACAACTGAATGAGGGTCACACCAAGGTGCCCTAAACAACCAAGATCAACACAAGAAAATGACAAATACAAATCCTACCAGCACACTAGACAAAACCAACACAAATAAAATTACAACCAAGAGCAAACATAGCAGCATCTTCAACCAAAGGCAGCTGCCACCAGCTAAACCCTTCAGTATGAACTGATTACCAACAAGCCAACACAAACATGATAAGATAAAGCTATCAGCACAGCCAACAGAAGTTCATCTAGCCACTGAACCAGTCAAGGACCTAGCAAGATACCCTTTGGCAGTCAACACTGACAATTCCTAGTGAAAGCAAACTCAGTTAACTCCCTTAAGGCAGCTCTTACCACTTCAAATTCCGGCATAAGTGAGTTTTGAAATTTCCATAGATTCCAGGACTTCCACAGCCACCATAAAATATAGGTGGTGAGTTGGATTCTATCATGTGATGTTGTTGATCTATCCAAAGAACACACCGTCCACCACCAACTTTTAAAGCTACTACATTCTCCTGAAATTCCATCCCAACTAACATGTGACAGTTTCCATACCTTTTGAGCTCTAGGACAGTGAAAGAAGATATGCTCTGAACTTTCCTTGGCCTCACCACAACTGGTACACACAGGATCAACAGCCAGTCCCCTGGAGTTCAGATTAAGACTAGAGGGTGATGTATTAGTGTAACACTTCCACAAAAAGTGTTTCAGTTTACTTTTAATCCTCAGGGCCCAACTTCTATTCCTCATTTTTTTGTCCCGCAGAACCGATGCACTCCCTTCTGCCAAGTCCATTTTCAAGATCTTCTACCTAATGAGGTTTGAGTATGTGCCACCCACAGACAAGGAACCCTTATTGTCCAAAACCCATTTCTATCTATCTTTGAGTAAGGGATCAAGAGAGCTGATACCTTGGATGGCTTTTATATCCAACTCACAAAGTAAATCTCTCAAAATATCAAATTCCATCTTCTACCACTATCATCAAGCAGCTGAGCAACCCAAATAAGATCAGTACTAGTCCCAGGTTTCAGTGAGGGAATTCCTGTCTGAATAGAAGGAATCCAAGGATCCTCCCATATTCTGGTTGACACTCCATCTTTGATCTCCACCCTAAAGTACTTCTTCCATTTATCTCTCACATTCAACCAGTTAGACCATAACCAAGAAGAAGTAGAGGATTTAGACACCTTTACAATTGAGGAGTTGAGAAAGTACCTAGCTTTTAATACCCCACTGACAAGAAGGTTTGGCTTAGTAATAATTCTCCAAATTTGCTTTCTTTGAATCACGACCCTCTAGCCTCTTTTGGAATGGAAACATATTTCCAAGCTTTCCAAGGCATTCCAGTATTCTGATCCTTGCCTTTACTCCACCAAAAAGAGGAACACCACCCTGCAACCACCTTGCAAACAGAATTAGGTAAACAAAAATAAGACATAGAGAAAACTGGCATGGCATCTAGAACAACTATAATCAACACTTCTTTTCCAGCTGGAAACAAGAAGTTGTTCTTCCAGTTTATAAGTCTTGACCTCACAACCATAATGACATAGTTGAACACATCTTTCTTTGATCTTCCAATTCCCAAATATCTGGATGATCTACGCATTTGAATACCCATCAACAAATGACAAACATCTACTTTCACATTTGCAGAACAATTTTTATTAAAAAATATTGAGGATTTGCTCAAATTCACTTTTTGCCCTATAAAGAACCTGTACTTCTCCAGAATATTCAAAATGGGAGAAGCATGGTAATTATCAGCAGCACAAAAAACCAATGCATCATCAGCAAAAAGCATGTGTGACAATTGAGGCCCTGATCTTGAGATTTTGAGACCTTTGAAATGACCTTTCATCACTTCAGAATGTAACAGTTTAGAGAAGATTTCAAATACCAAAATAAAGAGATAGGGGGACAAAGGTTCCCCCTATGTACCCTTTAACTTTACCATTGATATTAAAATAATAAGAAGCTGAAGACACACATGCAAGAATCCTGTTTGTCTCATTTTTGTGTCTTTATTTCATGTTTATTTTCTTTTTGTTTTTCCCCACTTGTAGGATTTTCGTAGCTTATTTAGTCCATTTCGTTCGTTTTGTGTTTTTCTCTTTAGTTTTTATTTTTGTGTCTTTTTGCCATGTTTTGCTTCGTGTTTTTTATGTGTTTGTGTTTTCAGGAGGTAGGTTCCGCCGGTCGAGGATGGGATTGCTTGAGCCGAGACCGTGATATCGAGAATTCCCGTTGCCGAGCTCAGAAGACGACAAAAAGGACTGAAGGAAGGACTGAAAACGGAGCCCAGCATTTTTCGCGAATCGCGACCCACGAGATTTTCAGAGGCTTAAGGTGCAGTCCGCGAGTTCGAGTCGTGACTTGCGAGATGGAAGTCGCGACTCGCGAGAGATGTCGCGACCAGCCCCAGATTTTGAAGGAATTGACGATGAGCGACTCGCGAGGAAGTTGCGATTCACGACATGACGAAATAGGGAAGTCGTGACTCGTGACTTATCGACGTGAAAATCGAGATGCGGGATTTTAAGTCAGATTTTGGACCTAGGGTAGATTATTCGACTCCAGACTTTGTTTTTACGCCTTTTCTCTCTAGAAACACATTCCGTTCATTAATTTTTCACTTTTGATTGGATTTGAAGATTGAAAAACTCCTTTTTCTCGCTTTGGATTTGGATGCACTTGGATTTGACATTGGTATCTTTATATTAATTGTAAGTTCTTTTTCTCAATTGTTTTATTGATGATGATGGCTTGGGTTGATATGAATTGTTATGTTGAATTCGTTATGAGTAGCTAAATTCATTCGCTAGGGATAAAGGATGATTGATTAGGTTCGTTTATGATTGCATGCTTTTGATTGTTCATATCAATGCGAGTTGTGTGAATTATAGGGTTAGTTGATTGATCACCATTCTAACCTAGTTAATCAACGTGTAGAACCGAGAGGGGAGACGTTGGTCGATTTAGGCTCGTTTAGAATAGACTTGTTCGAAAACATATTGTCTATGTGTTGTTGGAATTGATAGTTGATCGTTTACATTCACTCTCTTGTTACGAAGAGTTATTGAGAATGAACCTCTGGACGAGAAACGATTCAAGTCCTTTAACCGAGCAATTGATTTCCCGGTAATTGTGTTAGAACCGAAAGTGATTATCCCCGATTCCCTAGCTCTTTAGTCATTGAGTGAATTCGTTTGCTATTGAAACTGCATTTAATTTAGTTTAAAGTCATTAGTTGATAATTGAAACCCAAGACTTTCGAATTAGAGTGTTTAGGAGTTTGTTTCTCTTTCTCGTGATTGAATAATCGCACAAGCATATCCGGCTATCCTTCCTTGAGATCGACCCGGGGAACGAATCTTTCGATTCGGTACTCGGTAAATATATTTTGCTACAACAAAATTGGCGCCATTGCCGGGGAGGGTTTAGGGCTATAATTGTGCGTCTATTCATTTTTTTAGTGTTTCTCTTATTTCTTGTGATTTTTCTTGTTTCCGTGTTTCTCTTTGTTTCTTTAGTTTAGTCTAGTAGTTCTTGCTTTTTGGTTGGTTGTTTCTCTTTGTTTTCTTCTTTGTTTATCTGATGTCGTGACGGTTTCTTTTGTCTTTGTGTATGCGTACCAGGAGTGGGCGTATTCTCGGACCAAACGACGAACCAAGTCACGAGAGCGTAAGGGAGATTTTTGACAAACTTAGCCTCGACTCATCAGAAACAACAAATCAGGACATAGCTCTATAACAACCCCGTGATCTCCTCCGAGACTTGGCCCAACCGTTGATCGGGCCGATAACTTCATGCATCCGGTTGCCACAAGAAGCTCGAAGCTACGAGCTTAAGATGATCCATTACAACCACCTGCCATCCTTCCACGGGTTCCCGAATGAAGACCCGCTTAACTTCATTCTGGAATTCTATAATGTCCTCCAGACCTTCCTCTCCACGGGCTTAACGAGGAGCAATTGAAGATGAGATGCTTTCCCGAGACACTGAAGGACCGGGCCAAGGCTTGATTCATGACCCTCGCACCGGACTCTCTCACTACCTGGGCCGAAGTGTACACGAAGT